TCAACTATTCCGCAGAACTTGCAACAAAATCCCTACTGTTAACTAGCTCTGATCTTTTTCTTTCACCATTCACATCGCAACCGAGCAATGCAATCATTCTTTTTATGTTTGTATTTATTAGGAACTACATATTTAGACACTCTGAACTACAACTTGGCAGTTTTGGAAGCACCTGGGGGTTGCTTAAAGAGACTTTTTGCTGAGCCGGTTCTTGAAATGTCCTTTCCAAAGAGCCGCTTGTCTCCATTCATTTCCTGTGGAACCGTGTTCTAAATTTTACTCCTTTGGCGCTGGAAATGCCAGGAAAGCAGCAGCTGCCCCGTCCGCCCCAGCCCTGGCGCTCACCCACGGGCCCTCCCGGGGAACCGCTCCTGCCTCCCGCACCCGGCACAGGGACACGGGATGCCCGGGATGTGGCACGGCCGGGACAGGGACTAGCCGGGACACGGGGGGCCCATGGTGCGGGATGCCCGGGATGTGGCACGGCCGGGACAGGGAATAGCCGGGACACGGGGTGCCCATGGTGCGGGATGCCTGGGATGTGGCATTCCCAGGGCGCGGGTATCTTAGTACACGGGATGCCCATGGCACGGATCTATGGTGCAGGATGCCCAGGCGCTGGGATGCCCATGGCGTGATCTAGGGTGCAGGATGCCCAGGCGCTGGGATGCCCATGGCGTGGGATGCGGGTGCCTTCATCCTGCTGCTGCCCAGGCCACAACAGCCCTGATTTTCTCCCCAGAGCTCATGGAAAACCACTGGCCCTTTTTCAGGAGCTTTTTTGCATTTAAAGTGCGGGCCCCGAGAGCCCCCTCAGTCCCTGCCCACGTTGTGGCCATGACAAAGCAGCACCAGGCCCGGGGCTCGAGCTAACGCAGGCGACGCTTTATTGTTCCCGGGACGCGTGGCCACGGGCTGAAGTCCGAACAGAGCAAACTACAAAAAGAAATGAGTTTAATTCCTTTTTTTTCCTTTTATACAGAGCTAACAATCGTAGGATCAATGGGATTTCCCATCTACCGAGACAGTTCCAAGTCAGAAAGTTAGAAAACAAACAGTAGAAAAAAGTGCTTGGCAATGGGGGACTGGGACTCGTGGGGGACGGGAGCTGAGGATGCTCCGGAGCCGGCTCCCCCCCTTTTCCCTTTGAGCTTTTCCTTTTGATTTGGTGGTGAGGAAAATAAACCAGCAGGCATCGAGGTGCAGACAGGATCTTGGCTCGGCCTTTCCGGGTGCTGCACAGGGAGGGGTTTCTCTCCAGGCTGTTTTTGCATGGACAAAGCAAGGACCAGGGCTGTTCGCTTCCACGGGCTTTTAATTTCCTTGATTTTTTCCCCAATCTTATCCCCTTCCTCAATGGGTCTGCACCCAGACACTGCCTTTCCCCCTATTACAGCCAACGCTGAGCTTCTCGCTGTTTAAATATCTTTACAAAATAACAAAAGCAGAGGAAAGTGGGCAGAGGCTTCGTCCGGGCATTCTCCATTGGAGCTGGATCCCGCGCGGCTCTCGGGGTGGAAACTTTGGGGCTCCCAAACCGGCCTCGCGCTTAAAACGTTCCAGCCACGAAACGAGGAAGAGGAGAGGTTCGTTAGACAAATAAATACCTGAAAATACCAGGAAAATACCCTGCGGCAGCAGGAGCCGAGTCCCTGCCCAACCGGCTGTGCGGCGGATGCGATCCCTGAGGTAGCAGCCGGGGAACGGGAGCGCTCCGGGAACAGGGGGTGGGAATGGGATCCCAAGCCCGGCTTTGGGATGCTTCATCCTTGCTGCCATTTCATCTCACCGTGGCCAGAAAAGCAGGAACGTTTGGGGAATGCCCAGAAGGGGCAGTTAGTTGAATCCATGCAATTATTTCCTTGGAAAAACCTTCCAGGGCAGGACCCGTCCCGAGCATCACGGCTCCCGGCAGCGTGCATGAGATGCAGTGTCTGCCCATTAACCAACAAGGGGTTGCGTGTCCTCAGACAGAACATTTTGGGTCCTCCTGACTTAAAAACGGGGGGAAAAAAATAAGGAACGTGGCAGGTTTCTGTGTAAGTGCTGGGCTGCATCCATGGCCGGGCAGGGGGACAGCGATCCGGCAGGGAAGCGCCGCGGGGTTTGGCCATTTGCCCTCTGGAATGCGGGCGGGGGGGGGGGGGCCGCAGCCGGACACCCCAAAACATCCCGTTTTTGGGCTCTCTCCCACAGCTCGGGAAGACCCGGACAGGTTTCCAGGGCTGAAACTCTCCGGCTAAGCCAACGGCCTGGCCCAAAGGTGCTTCCTAGGAAGAAACCCCTGGACAGGTTTAAACCTGCGCCAAACTCCAGCTAAAACCGGACTCCTGTTCACTGTCCTTCTTGTTCCCAGGTGAGATCCCAGGCAGCCGCTCCCAGCGTGTCCCATTCCAGCGCAGCATCCAGGGCCCGGCTGGGAATGGAGGCCCCCAGGACCCCGGCGATCGGCTGCTCCGGATCCCACTCGCCATCCCCGGCTCTGTGGCTCAACCTTGGAAAATCCAGGTGAGGCAGCCTCATCCTACGGAATTCCCTGGGTTTGGAGGCTTCCCCGGATAGGCCCCACCAGTGCGGATTGACAAAAGCATAAAAGAAACCCCAAAAAGAGGAAAAGCTGAACGTCTAAAAACAGCGTTTAAAGATTCACATCCATCTTGAGCTGTCTCAAACCACGCACAGGCCGCATTGGTTTAAGCCATCGCATTTCTGCATAATTATTTAAAGGAAAAAAAAACCCTACTCTTGACATACTATCATATTTCACCTAGTCAAATGGCACAGCATGTCCCTTTAATAAAAGGAAGTAGTGACAAATACTTGTTACTATTACAATATCACAATAGTATGATATTAAATTAATAGCGTGTTCACAGCCGCAGGATTTTCTGAGCTGGAAGCTACTCTAGGAAGTGGGGTGTTCACTTTGGCAACGGGACTTCTTCAACGTGAACGTCAGCGTTACGGATAAATCCCAACACGCGGCCGGGCAGGGAGCGGAGCGGGAGGAGGAGGTTGGGATGCGCTTGGATCGGAGGCCGCAACCCAGGGGATGCGGAGCCAGGACTGAGCCCGGGCAGAGCGTCCTGCAGCTCTGCACCAAATTGGGCCAAATGTGGCTGCTTTTGGCCACCTGGGCTTTGCCGAGCGTGTGTTGGAGGGTTATGGCAAGACTGGGGCATCCAAGAGGAATCCAAGCCCTCGGATCCGCTAAGCCGGAGCCCTTTTTGGCCCTCAAGAGCCAGGAGGAGCTGGGGATTTTCTCTATGTTTAAGTCGTTGGGCATCTCCTCCTCTCTCTCCCGATCCCGAGGGGCTCTGTTGTGAGTGGATGCCCGGCGATCCCTGTGCAAGCCGGGTCCCTTCACTGCTATTCCCGCATCCGGAATGGCCGGGAAGGGCTGGAGGGACCCTGTGGGAGCAGCACTTGCTCCCACGGGGCTGCTCAGGTGCCGGAGAGGCTCCCTGGGGTGACGTGTCGATGTCGCCCTTTGGATCCCATCCTGCAGGACGCGGTATTCCCGCAGCTATCCATGTGCCAAGCGAAGCCGATGGGAGATGTTTCTGACACAAGGGACCGTCCCACTGGTGCCACTTAAAAAAACCACCCTCATTAATGTCTTAAACTTCAACGCGTTGCCTTTCCCAACTCCTTTCGTTCTTGAAAGGAGGGAGAGGACGTTTCAGAAGAGCTCAGCCCTTGGCATTCCCCTTCTTTTGGGCATCCCGGGAAACGGCGCAGCCCCGTGGTGGGATGGTGCCGGGGGATCCCGCACAAACCCTCTCTTTGGTCTCGGGTGCTCCTCCTTGGCCCCGAGCATCCTCCTCCCATCCTTCCTTCCGAGCTCCGCGCTTCCCATCTCCGCAAGCGCTGGGCTGGGGCGGCCTCATCCGGGCTCGCTCCCGGGAGCTCCCCACCTCGCAGGCAACCCCGACAGTCTTTAAAGTAGAAGAAAAAACAAAAAAAACAACCCAAAATAACCAACTGTGGTACAACACGCGGCACGCCGCGTGCCTAAAAGTAAAGCTCATAACACTAGCGAAGCGGCGGCGGCGCCGCGCGCCCGCGCACGCTTGAGGTAGAACATTGCTTTCAAGGTCTGGAAGTGCTTTACATCATGGGGACGACGAGGACGACGACGAGGACGAGGGACGACGACACACGCGGGAGCGCGGCGGGTCCGGAGCGGCTGCTGAGGTAGGAGCGGGTCGCCCGGACCGCGCGCGGCGCCGCTCGCTGCTGGACACGACGGAAGACGCAGATACTTCTGCTTCCCAGAAGACATTCATTCCGGTTGAGGTAGGTGCGGATTTCACGCGGGTGGTTTGTCCAAGTCTTTCGGTAGCCCTCGGGCAGGCCGCCTTTGATACACACTCTTTTTTATTGTGTGTGGTTTTTCTTATTTTTTAGAGTTTTTCAGCAAAAAAAGCATCCTGAGAAAGAGAGAAAAGTGTACAAAAATTCATTGAATCCACGGAGCAGGCGGCCTTCCCGGGCCTCAAGTTTTTTGGAGTCAAGTGAGAAGGATTTCTCCTCATCCAGTCTTCTTGAAATTAAAAAATAGATCCCAAAAGGAGTCCTAAAGCTGCTGATCAGGAAGAAGTCCATGACACCAAGAGGAGGCGACTCGCCGCATTCCCAGTCTGCTGGAGACGGGAGAGTTCAGCCAAAGGAGGCTTTTCCTTAGCAGCCCCGGGAAAACCCATCCGGACCCGGCTCGGTAACGTGGCCATCACAAGGAGGAGGCCTGAACCAGGTCGGTAAGATCAGCTTCACAGTTTCAAAAAGGCTGTGTGTGTGTGTGTGTGTGTGTGTATATATATATATATAGATATATATATATATGTATATTTATATATATATATAAAAATAAAGCAAAACAAAAAAATAACAATCAGACCGTAGAAATCTTAAATTGACCTGAGAATCGTTGTGAAGGTGTCACCAGCCGTGGGTTTGGTTTCTGCTGACTCCTGCAAGAGGCTTCGCGCCGCGGCGCTTTATCCCTCCTCGGCCGGGCCGGGGCCGGCAGCGGGCGGCCGCTCCGGCGGCTCCTCCTCGATGACTCCAAAGTCGTCGAGCGGCAGCGAGGAGAGCTGGGTCTCGTCGGGGGGTGCGGGAAGCCCTGGAGGCGGCT